GACGGGCGTAAGCACTGGTCTATTAATTGAACAGGTTATGTTCAGTTCACCAAGCATTATTACTCTCATTTCCACAACTAGTGTGTATCTGACTGTAGCAAGATTTTGAGGGTGGAATATATTTAAGTTCATACCTTAAATCAGAAGCCTTTTTCAATTTCTGTTAATTATAATTGTCTTGAAAATAAACCTTTATCTATTCAGATTAGATCTACCACACTTATTGTATTATAAATTAGAACATATAAAAAAATGCTCTATCTTATTCCACATTAGGCTACCAACACAGCAGAATTACCTTTTCAGATTTGGTGATGTACTTGTGCTATACTATTTCCTGTTTTTGTCCTCTGTTCAAAGTTGGAATATACCTATGTGAGAACTGCCAACTGGAAAAACACCAGTGAGACAACAGACTTGCCAAGGGCTGAGTTGCACCATGCAACCAGAAAAACCATGGAGAATATTTTACCTGCTGTTTCTGGAATAATTTGTCCTTGTCTACTCTGGTTGTCTTATCAAACATAGATCTAGTTCAGCTGCAGCCTTTACTGTCTCTCACTGAGAGTAATAAATGATTTCTGAGGGTAAGTAATGACTTGAGGCAAAATCCTGACCTCCTGCTCTCACTGAAATACTGTGATTTCAGTGGACAGAATGTTAAAGACTGTTTATATCAAAGTGATGTTTTACTATTATTTTTAATATATTTACAAGTATTAAATGGCAAAGTAGGCTGACACTCCTGCTTTAGATGTTGGTGTCAACCAGCATCAGGCAACCAAAGGGAAGTTACAACCAATACACATCATTACTACCTGCCAATAACTTGCAGAGAGAAATGACTGTTTCCACTGTGTTATCTGTTTAACAGTCATTAGGGCGCAGGTTTTCTTTGAATGCCTTTGCAAAGTCCACACTGTTATGAATACTCATACAATAGCAGATTGAATCTTGGCTCACTGAATTGACCTGTAATATACAAGCTTCCCTGGAGCAAGATAGCCATTAGTATAGCAATCTGTCTTAGACAGCTAATGAATGGCTGTCACAGCACAATAAACTTACTCTGAATGAAAAACAATTAACTCTGAAACACCACTCCAGTGAAAACTAACCATGAAGTCTGCATAAAAGTAAAGCAAAGAAATAACTTATATAGTGGCAGCCTGAGCTGTCACCATAAGCCATGCCTCACATTTTCCTTTTTCAGCCCTGTGGATCTCATAAAAGAAAAAAAATATGATTAATGTCACTCTGCAATCCACCAGTCACAAGACTGTTGGTGGCACAGAGGGATAATTTTGATTTTGAAGCAAGAAGTATGATAAGTATCCCCAAGAACACTTCAAGATAAACAGAGAGCCCAGGAATGTTATTATAAAATGCTCTCCAGTCATTTTGTCCTCATTTTCTAGAATCTTATACGTAATATGAAGACCCACATGGTAATGACTGGGAAGCAGAGTCTAACTTTTCAAGGTCCTTTCTCAACAGGAAATTTTTAGTGCAACATAAATTTACTTTTACTCTGCAGCTTCTAAGAGTGAGCTCTTTCCTGGAAGAAGATGTTGGCAATTTCTCTGGCCAAAAAAACAGACAGCAATCTCAGCTAGAAATTGCCTTGAGGTACTCCAGACAGCACTGTGATTCCCTTTGATTTGCCAGTCATCCAGCCTCAGTGACACTCAAAGGAAACTTCTCCAGAGATGCAGAAATGCAAACCTAAATGGGAGGTAGTGTCCACCAGATGCCACAAAAGGCATGTTAAGATCTCTGATGCCAACATAGGCAAATGGCAACAGGTTTCCTGGCTTAGAAAGAGTAAGAAGATAACCAGAGAACTATGAAGAATCAAAATCATATACTCATAAACAAGCGATCAGTCTTTTGTGGAATGAGATGATTATGAAAGAAAGCTGTATACTGTCCTGCATTTTAACCAAACTCACTCCAAAAGCCTGTCAGAGCATTTCAGCAGGCATGACATGAAGACCAAGATCTGATTCCCCCTGTGCTCAGACTGTGTAGTCTGGTGGTGTCCAAATCACCCAGAGGCCGCTGGCACCTTCATATCCGTGACACATCTGTGTCCATTGCAGTACCCATAGATGTTTTCCTTGGGAAAAACCAAACTTGCTCAGGTGAACAAATGAAAGCTAGGAGAGTTTGAGAAAAAAATATTTTAACTCCCCAGGCAGAAAGCCATAGCAAATGAGGAACAGTGATAGGACTTCTTCAGAAACAGTCACACTTGGAAAAAAATCCTATACTGTTGCACTTATTCTTTCTTTGCACCTGGTTATGATGGCATTAAATTCTTTGTACAAAAAGTGTCAGAAATTGCAAAGCAAATACGTCCTATAATCATACTCTACGTCTCCGTTTCCTCTGTGAATCTCCAAGTACTCTACAAAGGAAGAGAAATATTGCTATTCCTATTTGAAGTGGGTGGTTCCTGGGTCACAGGTTTAGTTACTACCCTAGTAATTGTTTAGTTACTACAGCCTCCCCAGCAGTAACATTTCTCAGTTCAGCTCCAGCTATGAAGGGGATCAGCTCAGAGATGCATTTTAACCAACATACACAAGAGAGAGAAACACAAACCTTGAAGCGTTCAGGTTACATCTCTACAGGACATGTGAAGATTAGAGACGATGTTTCTTGTAGATACATACAGCCCAAATACCTGTATATTCTTTCAGATTTATTTCATAAAGTGACTTTTCTTTCCATTCTTCCAAGTAGCACATCTTCCAGCCACTCAAAATGGTTAGAAAGCAGCAGAAAAATTGGGGTGGGAGGGAAGCAAGGGAAAAAGAGAATATTTATATGTGGCTTTAAATATTTTCCAGATTTGTGTTTTCAGAGTTGGGGGAGGAAAAGGAGGAGCGTGTTTTTCTAAAAAGCATGGGAATCCAAAAGTTGAAATCTTTAAATTTCCAAATGCCAAAATTCAATGGCGCTAAGTCAAAACAGATGTTTCATTTTGTTTTTGCATTTTAAAAATGGATTCATGTTTTAATATTGTTGTTCCATACAAAATATTTTGTTCTAAAACGCGCTATAAAGCACTCCATTTTTTCCTCCCTGACTATTTTTGAAAGCAGCTTCCCCAGAGAAATTTCAACAGGAGAAAAGAAAGGGCTTTATGACCTCCCCTACCTCCAAGCTTGATTTTAACCTGCTATGCATACAGCTTGCACTGTTGTCTTCATTATGCTATGCACAGAAAGAGATTTACTGAAGAAGGTGGTAAATATTCTCTATTGGATATGATATGATGAGATAATGAATGAAGGACACAGAAAACATTACCTTTGCAAAATTCATTTTGCAATTTGGAATAATGTATTTCTTGTCATTTTAAAACTTTGAGGTATCTTTATTTTGTATTATTTTTTCCCATCAAGTTTCTCACAATATGCTTTTTATAGTCAATACTTCATGTTTTGCATATTAGTAGAAGTGTTTTCTTTTGAGAGATATTACAGTACTGAAAGGACCTTAGAACAGTTCATGCAAATATATATATCAAGTATATGCAAATACACATAGCGCTGTATTTTCATTTTTAATATATTTTAATACAGTATGCCTCCAATACAAAGAGAAATTAACACCTTCACTGAGGACTGATTTTCTTTCACTTAACCATCTTCTGCATTTAAAATGTTGCTTTGTGAATGATGCTGTTGACACATTTACAAAGAAGTGTAAAATCTTCTATAAATTTTGAAGCTAATCGACTAGCCTTCACAAACCAATGCCTTTCTAAAGATTTCTATGGCACCACAGAAACATTTATGCAAATATGCCCACTGAGATGAGAGTTAAAGACTGGAGAAGGCAGCTAAAGGGATTTTTTTTGGTAGAACAGATAAAGGTAATCTGTAAGGAAGAAAAATGTAATTGCAAAATATGGACTTAACAGTGCGGATTCTGTGCGATAGGAAGGACTGAAGAATAAGAGAAGGGAACACGTGCCTGAGGATTCAAGCAGAAAAATGCTAGAACTGCTTTGCAAATGACAGAAATAGCTTCTGTGTGCTATTTTTATCTTTAGCAAAGTAAGTCTAAACAGCATGCAAGGGCCCAGGGTCAGGCTTTTAAAACACAGAGGGTGTAGATAAGATGCAATGGGTGCAGAGGGACGTGTGTAATCTGCCATCTCATTCCCACTAAAAATCAGGAGGTGAGCAACTCGTTTTAACTTCAAAAATTCAGCCCCCAGCTTCACATACAGACAGACTGTACGTGAGGGAGCAGCATTTCCTCTTTAAAGTGTTTTTCCATAAACCTACAAAGAGCCATAGTATACAAGACCTCTTTGGTAGATTTCAGAGGGCTGCAGAAGCAGAGCATTGCAGCAGGGCTTCTCTGCATTCCACTATTAAATTTACCCACCCTCAGCTGTCCCTTCATAACACTGCACAAGAAATTAAAAGCATTAAGTTATGTTTCTTCATAGCTAGTCTGAGGCCGTGACTTCAAGGGCAACGAAATATCCTGCAGCTTTCAGAAAGAGCAAATTTTATTCACTCTGGCCCTTAGTCACAGACTGCATGCAGAGTTTTGGGCAATATTTTATAATCTTCTGTGAATTACCATGAAACTCTTTTTCAGGGCAGCCCACAAAGGCTGAAAACCTTCTGCTCCCTTTGATTTGGCCCTGATGTGCAAGCTGTCCACCTGGAAGCTCATCAAAGAGCAGTGCTACATTGCTACATCTGTAATTGCCTATGAATAGCACTGTTGCTTCTGTGCTGGCTCCTGAATCCACATGCTGCCTACAGGGTGGGTGCATCACACTTTACTCTGGAAGTTTACGACTGATGGATGTATGATTGCTTTTCATTTGTGACAGGGCAAAACACTTCTGCCAATAGGTCAAAGCAGAACAGCTGCAGCCCAAAAATCTCACTCCTCCCACTGGGATATTCATACAGCCATTTGAGCTGGAAGGGACCCTGATTGATCACCTGAGATGAGCAATGAGTCAGCCTGAGGAGCACAGGTGAAGGCAATTCACCTGTGCTGCCAGAAGGGTGGAGCCAGGCTCCAGCTCTCCTAGACCTATTTAAGAGCTGGCTATCAGTGGGGAAGGGTTTCTTCTGGAGATTGCCTTTGCTGGTGTTTTGTGAGCAAGCCCAGGATAGGGGTAAGCTTTCTATTTTTTTCACCTTTGTTATCATAGTCTGCTTTGCCTAAATCTCTTGTTCATTTTGTGAATATAGCATCCTAAAATTCTTTGATTATATAGCTTAGCAGCAAGGTCTTGGACTAAGGTGAGGGATAGCCCCTTAGTGTATAATGGCAGTAGGTGTGCAAAAAGGGAAAAGAATTTGTATACCTCAGGAAGGCCCATAAGTTCCCTTAATAGGTCAAGATACACCCAGTCTAAAATTCAAAGTTAATCCAAACCCAGGGATTCCTAGCAGCAGCTGAATAAATTTAAAAAAGAAGTTAACAGAGCATACACAGAAAGATACAGATCCATGGGAGAATTTTCAATTTAAGCAAACAAGCAGCTGAGGATGAGACGGTGAGACATAAAGACAGCACTCAGAATCACACAGGAAACTTGAGAGAGCAAAGCCCTATGCAATCACACTGGAAACCTCACTCCATTTTTCCGACTCTATGACATGTGTCACCCAACCCTCGTGCAACCGTTTGGTGGCTCAGGAAGAAGTCCATAGCTTACTGATCATAATTCTCCAACTCAGTTCTTACACTTTGGCTCAAACTTCCCTCTCTCTGAGTGGTAAATCTGTGGGAAGGAAGGTATTTCTAATCTATTTGAGAAAGTGAGGCACTGAAACATGTTGCCCAGAGAGGTGGTGGATACCCTGTCCCTGGAGACGCTCAAGGTCAGACTGGCTGGGGCTCTGAGCAACCTGATTCAGCTGTGGATGTCCTTGTTCATTGCAGTGAAGTTGGTCTTGATGGCCTGTAGCGGTCCCTTCCAACTCAAATGATTCTATGGTTCAATGAAATATGTTCTTATGACTGTTCCATCACTGGAATTGCAGTGCTTACTAATCTTTGCAGAACACTACTTGCATTCCTTTCACTAATCACAAAATCAGTGTTCATGAGAAAGTTTGCTTTTTTCCTTAGAATCAGCATTTTGAGTTCTTTTTTCCTTTCTCTTTAGATTGCTCCCATTCCGTTTACTTTTCAAACCCATCTTATTTTCTCTCAAATGATGGTCAAAGAAAGCAACTGACCTACCATGGTTCAGCTCTCACACAAACTGGTTGCACAGAGCCATGGACATGAGAATGGTGCTTTTGGAGCAGCTGCCTGCTTGGCTGTCAGTACCACCTCCCACAGCCCTGTCTTGCTGCATGTGCTGTTAGCAGGGGTGGATGACATCGTCACACACCGTTAGCTGCCCAAGAATTAAGCAGGTTGTAATACTGTGTCCTCAAGAAATTACTGCTTCTTGACAGGCCCTTTGTTCTGAGATCAGCCTCTATTTTACTTAACTGGGCCACTGAAGAATGTGTCACAGCATTTCAGCACTGCTCAGAACTGGCTGAGTGGAGTCAGTGATTAACAGCACATTCTGGGATACCTAGTGATCTGCATCGAGTGTTTAGTCCTCAGAATCTGCTACATTCATAAAATCTGAAAAATGGGGCCTTTGTAAACTTTCTCCTAAGGTTTTGAAGCATGTTTTCTTGCAGCTTTTGTGCTAATCAAGTCCATTATCCCTGTGCTGGTGCCCTGAGCTATGTCTTGGCACCTGCATGCAGACATTATATAAATACATACGTAGCAGATTTTCAGGCTGCTCGGGACTTGACTAGCTATTGCTTTTGCTTCCTGGCAATCTCTTCGCAATTGAATTTATTGGCACAAATATTCTTCAACTAAAACAAGTCTGAAGTGGCTCTTATAGAAGTCTTTTGAACTGGTATTGTGTAAAATCTTGCTAGGAGCCCATTTCCCCGAGGTACAGACATCTGATCAAGGAATGTGCTGGAGCACTCACATCCTGTAAACACACGCTCAGCTTCACGACTTCACGCTTTTCTGTGATAATAAATATTTGCAGATGATTGGTATTTCAGAATGCCACTCCCCACTCTAAAACCACTCATGTTCCCACTTCAACTCTCTCCCTATCATTTTTTTTCCAATGGCCAAATCCCCATTGCAAAAGAGACAGAGTAAATCACCCCCTGAAACACCTCACAAGAAGATGAGATCCTGGGATCTCAGTGCTAGGCACAGCTCAGGCACTACTGATGGACCATGGTCCCACTAGTGCAGCAGCAGCTTCTCCACTTCCCTGCTGTGGAAGAGCCAGGCCCAGCTATCGTCTGCTCCACATCTGGTGTGCAGAGCTGATATCTGGCACTGTGTCTGTATGGATATTTGCAGTCTGTTGAGTGGTTTGATGAACATGTCAATATGATGGTCAAGCACATCAACTTTCATTTAAAGTAGTGTTGCCAAAGTATGTTTTTTATTTAAAGTGAGGCTGTTTTCAAACTCCCTTTCATTCTTCTATGATGTCTCATGGCTTACTGAAACTCATTTCTGGAAGGGCTCTGCAGCTCACCCTCTGCTCCTGTTGGGCTGCCCAGGGAACCCTGATCATGCTCCAGCATAGGGAGGGTGCATGGCCTTTGCTACTTCTCCTTTCTTGTATGAAAACACTCTGACACCACCTGTGTTTAGCAGTGATTAGACATAACTGGGTCTAGACTTTGTCCCTGCTGGAAAAGAGTGGGTAGGATCTGAGCAGCATAAGAGCATTCCCACAACAATAGAGTCAGAACAGCACTGCCCAACACTGTTGAAGTAAGGGCTAGCCTCCAGGAGGCTGCATGCTGGTACAGATGAGGACACCTAGGAAAGCTAATCCTTATTAACCTTTAAAGTGGATTGGTTAAACTAAATTAAACTCCAACATACATGCTTTTACTCATCAAAATGGAATAAGCACTGGCAGCCACAGTGATTTATTTAACAGAGTCCACAGGGCAGTTTAATTCAATTTAATTAATTCATTTTGGAATTCACCCCTTTAATTAAATAGAAGTTCACTTTCTAACTGTCAGATTTGTTGACAACCCTAAATGAATAGCCCTTAAAACAAGATTGTCTGTTTTTCTTACTTAAAAAATGGAAGATGTGAGAGGAGCTGTAAAAAGAGCTGGTACAAGAAAGTGCTTGGCTTTCTTTTAAATTACAAGCCACTCTGTGACATTTCACATACTTCTATTTTGCTGCTTTGGATTTCTAAGTAAGAATCTGAGATGCAATTAAATGATAACAATGTATCCTCGTTCTGTAAGGAATCAACCAGTTTCTGTAGACCTGTACTGAATTAAAGCTTATAAAAAGCAAGACCAATAACATTCCCTTAGAGATATGTGTAGTAAATGGAGTCTGCACGTCCCCAGGCTCTATTCCAGGTGCCAAGAATGAGCAAAAAGTTATATTTGTTTATGCACAATGAAATACCAGTGCTGTTGTTTCAGTGATCTAGCAGTAAAGTGAGAAGGAAATATAAGACCAGTTCCAGGTGCTGTTTTTCAGTGGGTTTCCTGTCTTTAAATTGTCATTGAACTACCCTTGCTGCCCAGTTGGATGACTAAAGACTTCAGGAAAAAGAATGATGAACTGATAACATAGTGACTAATGGCTAATGCATTTATGGCACTACTGCTTATGTTTTGATGCCACAATGTGATATTTTCTTGATGCTTGAATACATGTACAGAAACTATTCAAAGTTGGTTAAAAGGCTGATACTGAGTGGGAATTTTCGGTTTCTTGAATTGCTTTTTATTATCTGGGAAGGGCAACTAGGATACAATTCTTCAAGAGGTTATTAGGCATTATCTTAATCCAACAAAGCACTTAAGCAAAGAGCTTCAAAGCTCTCCTGTCTCCTTTAAGTCAGAGGATTCTACTGCACCTTGGTGATCCAGTGTCATGTGAAAGCTACCTAATGGGGGACAGCAAAATTGCTTCCAAACCATCAACAGTTAAAAATGCAGCTGCAGCATTCCAGTAATAACATCCGGGAAATCTCAGCCCCCATAAGATGACATTGACCACAAAAATCTCCCAAGCTTAAACACTCAGAGAAATGATTGCTTCTGCTTTTTTAAAAAAACCTGTCTAGTGACAGCAGGTTTATGAAATAGATTTGTAGCAGCAGTTATGGCCAATATTGGGTGGATTTCCTCTCTGATGAGAGAGTGATATCAGCACGTGCTGTTCTCTGAAGGTCTCAGAACACAAAACCTTGAGGAATTGTACAAAGGCATTTCTCTCAAGCCCTCCAGATGGGGCATTAGAAGTCATTGCTCTGCACAGCTATGCAAGGTACAGTCTCTAATTTACAACCCCACATATTAAGTCATTTTTCAGACTGGATATTACAACTCTAGACGCATGAAGTACATTAAGCAGTTCTGTGGATAATCAAGAAGTTTTCCATAAACACCTAATCAGCTTTGGTGTAGATATACACTGTGATATGGGTACAGTTTATCTTTACATAATGCATGGATGCTGCTTCAGCTTTTCCTTAAAATACCGCTCCTGGAGTTGACTTGTTTTGAATTTCCTTTTCAAAGAAAGGAAGAGTCTGAGCACACAACATAGGTCAGATGTTTCCTTTCGTCTGGGTGCCCTAATGATCATCAGAGACTCCACAGAGGGCCTTCCTGCCTAGAGGAAGTGCTGACTCTTGTGAAGAAACTTTTTCCTCATCAGTAGGGTCTCTCCATTGCTTTTCATATCCGTACTTCTGGCCCCATATGACCAGCTGAGTACTTCACAGATGTAAGGAAAGAAGCTTACATGAGCCAAGGCCACCTCATCCTACAATTTCAACATCAACAAGCATGTTGATTACAACACAGGGGGCAGATCATCCTCCTGCCACAATACTTGCATATACGACTTCATCTTTTTTCAGGGCTTAGTCTCAGTCACTGTATAGTTTTCCTTAGCTTCTCCTTCTACTAAAATAAATAGGGATATCATGCAGGATAACACATATAGATCTGAGCCCAGCTTAGATCTTGTATAGGAGCACCAAAAGAAAAACTCAATCTTAGGCAGTTCTGTAGCACTTGCAGACTAATGAGGAATTCATTTTTCCCCTCCAGAACAGTTACCTGGGTTGATTGTCCCCAACAGGAGGTGATTTGTGTGCCCATGCAGAGACACGCAGGGTGGAGAACTGGCTGCGCCTCAATAAATATTGGTCAGATGGGAAACTGCCTCTTGCTGGGTGGTATTGATTTCAGCATCTTGCCTTACCGATTCCTTCATGGCACTGTGACAAACTTCAGATTTATCTCCACCTCTGGCATTAAGTCTTCAACAACACATCCATGTGCCAAGACCATCCAGAAAAAAATGTGCACAATCAAAAAAATGTATGTATTTCTCCTCCTTTAATGACAGATTAGCTTCATTTTTAACTATAATTGCAGTCTGAAATGGTTAAGATGTTAACAGAGCATATAGTGTGGTATTTAGAGAGCGGTAATCATGCAGTAGTTGAAGCAAGGGTGGTAAGTGAAGGTGAAGCATTTTATTAGACTTGGTGCTGTTGCAAGAAGAAACAAATGAACTCTGGTCTCCTTCACTCTGTACATCTGAATACCTTTTATTTGCTTTCCCTTTCTATAAACCATGTCTTAATTCTGCATTAATAGAAGGTTAAAGATGCAAATAAATAGAAGGTTAAAGGTGAAAAGAAGAAGCAGTCAGTTCCAGGAGAAATCAAGAATGATATATTCCAGTTTTCAAATTTTAAGTTGTTGAGTAAAATCTTGAATTTAAGCAGAGTTTGTTTTGCACATCTCAGGTCTTACCATTCAAAATATGCCTTGGGTCCTTATTTCTAACTTGTTTTCATTTTTATCAAATGACATAGCCCACAACTCTTTTCCAGCCTATTTATTTATGCCACGCTTGCATAAATCAGGATCTTTGTTTCTGCTATTTTTTCCAAGCTCATTGTATGTCACTGCTTAAATCTTAATAAAGATCTATTCTCTGAAGCGTTTTAACTTCAGAAAATCAAAACTGCAGTCACTAATGATGAATGTTTAGATTCTTGTTTGGGGCTGATCTGTAGGTCTAGAAAACTTCTTAACTTCTATTTGTGAAACAGGTGCAAAAGGAGAGAAATTATTTCAAGATACCAACACTTAATCTCACATGATTTCTTTCAACTTTGGCCAAAACTTTTGTCTTTGCTAATACCAAGGAAATACTTGAAGTATTCAGCAAAATAATAGATGGAAATTCTTGACTGGCAGTTGTTTGCTTAGAGTGTAATAACCAGTCCAGTACCACATAATAATAGTATGGGAAGGCATTGCCCCGTGCTTTTGAAAGGACAGTTGTAGGCGCTATAGAAAAATAATCACCAATCTCTAATTTACTACTTCATCTAAATCTTTCCACAAAGAAAACCACAGTGGGTGAATCAGAGCTTTTGCTAGGGCGCACAGCATTAGCATCTCTTATTTCCACAGGAAAATATATTCATAGGACAGATGCACCCACCAGCAGCAGGAGTGAGTCAGGTCCTGGCTCCTGTGGTCGGAAGTGGTTGGGCATTGTGGCAGCACCAGTGGGAAGACAGGGCTGCGAGCTCTGCCTCCCAGCTCTCTGGAGGTGTGATGGAGGGCTGACTCAGAGGAAAACATACCATCTACTGACTCGGGTTACTGCTTGCAGTACCCGGGATTTTCCCTGAAAACTCCCATTCAAAACTTCACAAGAAACCCTACTGATATACTGGCAAGGACTCAAGAAGAACAAAAGTCATCCTACAGAAAGAGAAATTGGGTCTGCTTACTGGATGTTTTCTCTTTGTTTTATAACCCATAGAATTCAGTTTTCAATAGCTAAGCCACCAGAAGTATCAGAGAGAATGTTCCACAAGTGAAACTTGCATTTCTTCAGCAATACAGTTCAGCAGTATAGTGTGATTTTGCAGTGAAATAACAGAAATTAGTTTCATGATTATGGTAGTATTCTGCTAAAGGCGATGGCCACAAATAGAGCCTCTGTGACAAAATCAAAGCAGAAGTCTGTACTGTAGCTATAAGTAACACCATCAGCCAGAATCTAAGATCACTTACTCTACAGGGTTTGCCTCATCCTCCTTTGTGTTAGCGCAGAAACTAAATTACAGTTTATATTCAGTGAGCTAAATGCATTTCTGAAATGTCCTTGAAAGTCAATGGACATCTTTTCAGGAAGCATCATGGGGCAGTGTGAGCAGAGAAAATAAAACTCCATGGTCTCCACATCATTTTTTTTTCTCTAATTTCCATCCACTAGTTTCAGTGGACTTCTTTCCCAGATTTGTATTCATCAAGTTATAGTCAGCTTCATTCTGTACATATTTTAAAAAATTTATATAATTAGCTTTTAAGGATGAGCATTGAAAACATTCTAAGAACTGAATGTTTTTGTGATACTGCTCTTCTACCTCTTTGTCTGGAGAAGGAAAATATTTGGCCTCTTTTTTTGTAGGTGTGTGTACTTCATATTCTGCTCTTGATTCCATTAGTGTTAGTTTTGAATAACTCCATTTATTTTGTTTATCTATGTTATTAATCATATTCCTGACATTAGAAACTGGCAGCCTTTTCAGATGTCTGTTGAGCCAAAATTCTTTGTTCCACTATTGTGCACCTAAAATGAACACTTTCTAGAATTCAGCACATTTACTCGTGGTAGCATTACCTCTCACAAGTTTCATTAGTAATTACTAATGTTGCTTTCCTTTGCAGGAGATAACAAGTCTCATTTAGATGACCTTGAAATGATTTTTTTCTTGAGATGACAAAGTGTTAGATCCTCTGCACTCACATGCAAGCTAAATCTGCACAGCAGTAGTGGGCCTTCTGTTTCTGAAGCAGCATGAAAAAAGTCCTTCTGTTTGTGGTCCCAAATACTTTCACGATGCTTTTTTGGTGGTGTGACTGTAGGTACAAACTTCATTTCTCAGAATACTTAAGCAAGTAGATAGCCAGGTAAAAAAATCTGCCTGTGCATCACCTAGCCTGGTTCTCTGGCAAAGTACAACTTTCTTGTTCAAAAACTGGTAGAATTGTCCAGACAATAAACCTGTGCAGCCCTTTCTGTGAGTACACAGTGTTTACAATTAGTCACATTCCTTGACATGCTCACTCCTGTAGTAATTCCTCTATTTTGCATCAGGAATAAAGCACAAAAGCTGCTTGTTTAAAGCACCCATTTTCCCTTCTGCTTCTGTAACTCTTTTACTGGCTGGCCCTGAATTCCATATTGTGAGATGACTTTCCAGTGCCAGGGCATGTATTCTATCAGCAGACCAGGTTCAAAGGCTTTCTCCTACACGTGACAGTATGAGACTGAGGTTACTCAAGTTGTCTTAGAAATGGGAAGGAAGGAAACACAGAACAGTAGGCTCACAGAAAGGTGCCAAGTACCTTGAAAGAGCATAGTGGCTATTTTTATTTGTCTATCTTTGTCTTTCTTTGTCTTTATTTTTATGCTATCAGTGGGTCACATACTCCTGTTGCTAATGGCAAAAAGGACCAGCAGTGAGATGATTTTGTTGTCAATCAAGCACAATGTCTTTTAATTTCCTAGATTCAGCTATCTCTGACCATCTCTTGCCAAAATTAAGGGAAGTCAGGTGGTTCAGGGCAGACAAATCCCATAGCAGTGCTAGTGATGTGAGACTTTCCTGTGCCAGGCTGGATGCCAGCACCACAGCTCCTGGATAGGGGTGCTCTGGGAAGGTGGGTGGCCACAGCACAGCAGGCTACAGGGCAGCAGGGGCACAGTTCATCTGGGCAGGCCCACTACTTCCTCATCCCACTTGCTTCCCCTTCATTGGAAGGCAGAAAGTTTGCTGAGGTGAATGCAGAGCATTGTCAAATGTGACAGGAGGAGACAGGAGGAGGAGCAGGCTGCCTCCTGAGTCATTTCATTCTTTTTGTCTTCTGATATGGCCTGGTATATTCCCTACATAATGCTGTCTTTTACATGGTTGTTCTGTATTTCTGCTCTCCATCCTGTACCCTGAGATTATAATATGCTGCTGCTCCTGCTCCAGCAACTTGGGGCCACCTCCCCCTGTCTGCTGAACAAATATGGATTCTCATTTCTAGGAAAATTTGGAGAACTGCTGCTAAATCAGTTCTTCAAGTATCTGCCAGCACATGTGGTTACTTCCAGTTTTTGTCAGCATTCGACCTTCTGCCCGTACGCTCAGCCTTCAGTCTCTCTTTCTCCTCTCCAGCTAGCTTTGCATTTCTTGCCACTCAAAGCCTCCTATCCCCCTGAATGAGAGGGAAATGGAACTGCCCTAATAGCCTTTGACAGACTCATGGAGAATAAACTTACCTGCAAATATCAGACAATTAACTACCCACATCTAAGAATTCCATTTGGAAATTGAGACACAGTATAGATTATCTCAAGGAAACTCAGAAAGAATGGAGCTTTTTTGTATTGCTTGTATTTCCATTTTCACATTTGCTGTATATCCATTTTGGTATTCTTCTTCCTTCAAGGAAAATTAGAGCAATCAGTATTTTAAATAGTATTTTTAGTTTGATTCACAAACAGACCTTGGTTTTAACAGACACAAAATAATAGGAAAAAGAAGATAATTTCCTATACCCGCAGGGAAAGAAAAAAAGATTGCTTTTTAAATAGCACCAATGCTGATGAAAACAGTTTCTTTTGAGCTGACATCTGTTTGTCTTCTGCTCACTACAGCAGCACACAATTGTACCAATTATAATTGAGATGCTCCAAACTTCCACCTACACCACTTCACCAGACGCCCTTGCTCTGGGCTGGAAAAACACGCTGAATTGTGAGGCATCTTTTATTAAACAAACAGCAATTGAGAAAGAAGCAAGCACTTAAGCCACCACTGTGTTCTGCTGAGAGCCCAAGTGAACTGCTACTAAGAGCAGGGGAGAAGTCTCCTGCAACAACCAGGCGCCCTTAGAGCAGACATTCAAATAATGCGACATTATTCATCACAATAGTATCTCTCATTAGCAGATGATTATCGCTACGGATGTAAGCAAGATGAGGCTTCTAGGGAGAAACAGTTTCTTTTATTAGACTAGTTGGCATATTTGGAAGAAACTAACAAGCTTTGAGGAGCACAGACTCTATTGCAAGGCACTGTCTGAAACCATTTTCAACATGTCTGTTCACCAGTCACTCCTCACTTCTTGGATCTTCTGTTGCTTGGGTAAGTTCACCAGGACACTGCACAAGTTATCCTCTCCCAGGATTTGATCAGACAGGTTACGCCACAAGTGTATTTGTATCATGTAGTCCTGGTGTCTCCTGGTGCAGAAAGCAGAGGAAAGTCTGGAGGAAAGCAGAGCCCTGTCCTGGAAGCCAGCACTTCAGAGGCTGTAGTAAGAGGGACACCCCAGGGGACAAGAGGTAGGTGATGCAGGCATGACAAGGGGGTTCCCAGCCCAGAAGCCCATGGGAGGACCACATCCTGTGGCTTTTCCCCACTGTTACCCCTCTTTCTCTGGGCTCCCAGGGGTCTGACATACAACCTAGTTCAGCACAGGGAAAAAGCACCAGGGGCTTTCCTGTGCCTACCCAACTCGCAGCCCACTCAACTGTGCTTAATGCTGTCTTCATGCTGTCAGCTCAGTGATGAGAAAGAGTGCTACCTTCAGGAAAAAAAGAACTGTTTGAAGTGGTGGAAGGTCTCCAGACACTGCAGCAATGCACATGCCTTGTCGCTTACAAGAGGAAAGGAGGATGCATGTGACACTAGCTGTGGGTGACAGCCGTGGGCAGATGCTGCCATGCCAGAAGGACTCAGCATCACTCATCCAGCACCTCCCCAGCAAGGGATGCAGCTCACAAGGGTGGAACCCCAGACGCTGTGCAGGAAGCCATCCCAGCAAGCTGTCGCTTCACTGTCTGCATGCATTTCTTTCCTTTGGGGGAGGCTGTGCACTGCTCTATCCACCCCATTAACAGTCTTCACCTTCTCTCAAATATGTTCTTGGTTTAAATGATGTGTGTTGCAATCACCTCCCAAAGTCTTTTGGATGCCTTTTTCCTGAATGCTGAGTCTTCACAAATTAAGCATGTCAGAGCTTACGTGCATCTTTTTCTTTCTTACTGTACTTCTTATTCTGAGAAGCGTGGTCTGACCATAGAGAAACATTAGCCTGCATACCGTTTTCAGAAGCTCAGAGATCTCAGCACTTGCCACACAGCAAGATTTGGACTTTCTGTGTACTAGGTATAGTTCCAGCCCTCATGGAGGTAGAAAGGAAAGGTTTGAAAATGAATCTGATCTCTGATCATCCAGAGAACGAAAGACAACCAAAACCATGGATATAGTTTTTAAAAATATGTAATGTTAGAACACCTTGAGATTTTTGGAAGTTTGGGGCTGGCAAAAGAAAATGTGCCTCTTAATTTCCTGGGTTTGGAGAAAGATGTATCTGTACTGCAGAAAAATAGCTGTTGAGATTTCATTTTCATCCTGTTAGCATCCATCATCACTCTGTAAGAAGCAGACACACGCACACCATTTCAAGCAGTCTGGGCCGCATCCTTATTTAGAGAACAGTCTCAGCTTCCTTGTACTTTTTGGTCTGAGCACTCTCAAGCCATGCTACACATTAACATAACAGCTGACAAAGTTAATCAGCAGTAATAGAAGCACTTGCATGACTTGACCCGTATAATCTATTTGAAGACATCTCTCTCTTGCCTGCTCTTTCGCTCACCCTGTGCTTTTATGTCTAGCTCACTTATTTTTACCCGCCATCTGCAGGGCAAGATGAAAATACTGTAGCATGACTGTGATTACTGGGCTGCACAGCAGAAGTTACTTTTGGCAGTAGTTACTATAGAGTGGGTCAAATATAGCTGTAAAGCTGCTCTTTTGTGGCATCTTGGTTTTTTCCTCATCTAAGTGAAAATCCATGTCAGAAAAATGTTGCTTGATTTGAGATAAAGGAAGTAAAGAGGTAAAAAATCCAATTAAATTTTGGAAAAAACAAACAAACAAAAAAAAACCAATACACATTAAGGAGTGCCAAAGCAAAAAGAAAAAAAGGAAAAACTTTCTTGAAAATTACCTCAAGTGTTATTATGCTTGACAGGAGATGTTACTCTTTATTCCTGATGTGTTTTTGTTGTTAATAAACTATATTTCTTCTAATCAAAGGGCAGAAAATTGAAAGGAAAATTTCTGTAGACCTCTAGACCTCTAGGCTTTCCTTACAATAAGAGGTGAAAAGGCCTGATTTTATGTTATTTGAGAACAGAACTAACTCAAGACATCAGATAGAAAGGACCATTTTCTCTCTTAAGAATGAGAAATAAAAGATACAATACAGATAGAAAGATAATTCTCTCCATGTAATGATGATGAAAGCAAACCAAGCCACAGAAAATTCGTTCTCATTATGCTACATATATGCTTTTTTTTTCTTTTTTCTTTTTTTTTTTTTCCCTTGGAATACTGCCTTGTGTTACTGTGCAGTGAGCATCCTGCAATTGTCAGCTGACTGTTTCTGGGAGAGAGTGTGCAGCCCTGGGCTGGTAACACTTGGGATGTGCTTGGAGACTCTCATACCTCATCTGACATGGAGCTGGATGCCTTTCTGCCCTTATCTTGTCAAGCAAGGGGTGTCACTATCTAACCTTACCAAGAATATTAAAGTACAGGCAGACACAATTCCATGTGCTATTTTTAAATCTGAAAGTATGCAAATACACACGCAAGTAAGGCATGGCTCAGGCATCCTGGTGTGCTTGCCAGGATGCAGCTGCAAATTTTGAGGGGATTCTGGAACAGGCAACTGCATCACTACTCCCATTAAAATCTATAACATTCATTCTCTGAGTTAGAGAGTCTGAGTCTGAGGTAGAAAAATATTTCATTCCACGTTGTTGTGAAATATTCCATTTACACAATTTTTGTCTGTGGAAGCATCACAGGGAGGCAGGTGAAGACAAATAAATTACATCATAACTTACTACATACACTTCATGCTTGTTTATCCTACATACTATCCATTTCCAGATGACAGCTCTTCCAAACTTGTTTTGATGATGAATTTGGAAGTACTTCTCTGATTTTGCATTTCATGCAACAATGGACGAAAACAGAATTTCTTAGTTATTTTTACTGAGCCTAGGTAAAGAGAAAGGACATTTGATTCAAATGAATACATTCAGAGTGGATGGGAGAATGTTAGTTTCTGTGAAGCCAGTTCTTAGTGGCTCTGCTGATCCACAGGAGAGGTCCAACACTACCTGAGAGCAATGGAGGGTTCTCAGTTTTGATTTAGACTTTACCAAATATATTCAGGAAGCATCACTTGCATCAGTGCAATATAAAAAGAACTGACCAGCAACAAATCAGTGGAGAAGTTCAGCTATCTCCATCTAGGACATGAGCCTACTCTTTGTACAACAGAAGGCTGAAAATATCCAGCGAGCCTTGAGCAGCAGAAAAGAACTAGGTAAAATTCTATGCAGCTGAGATCCTCAAGTAGAGACAGTAGCACAGAAGGCAGCCTTAAATTTTTAAAAATAGCAAAAAAAAAAAAAAAAAAAAAAAGAAAAGAAAAGAAAAAAGGCACTTTATGATAAAATCACATTGCAAATATACTTTACAGAGCATTGTAAAAACTTGAAAAGGGAAACAGAAAATTAAGGCCAACAAAATTAAGGAGAGCAGGAAGAATTTTGAAATTCTTGAAATTAGGGGGGTAAGAACAAAGTTATTCAATGCATGGATTGAAAAAATTCTCAACTTTGGAAAAGTGGTCAAATTTTCAAGAGTAGTGAATGCATGAAAATGTCTGGTGTCAGTGGAAAGGCTTGGAAAATTTGTATTCGGAAATGTTATGAGAGCTTGCTGAGGGCTTTCCTGAACTCTTTCCTTGAATCATTTTTGGTTGATGTTTTTTTGTTTCAGTTCAGCAGCTCCTGCAATGGAGAGGAAAACTGGGGAAGACTGAAGATCACTTAGGATAATGTCAATATTTAAAAAACAGGTAAGTAAGATGAGAGGTATTACATTGGTGCTCATCTCTGAATCTCAAAGGATATACCCACACACTTCTCATCAGTCTAGCTATACTGCACAGTGCAGCTCTGTACAGAGATACTATCTTTGTTTCAGGAACAGTTTAGCTGCATCAGTGTAGCCTCTGTCCTAATTTAATTAGCCTGGGCATACCACTGTGCTGATGCAGCTAGACTGTTCCCAGTTCTGGAGCTGTTTCAGTTGGAGTTATGTCAGGTATTGTAGCATATTTTTGTATTGCACCATAAAGGCACAAAGGCTAGGCTCCATATGCCTGTCCATGTAATATATTGCTCACAGAGAGGTCATACTTTTACCACTGAGGAGAACTTCCTATTGGAAGAACAGGCATCGATACAACATAAATCTCACCAGCTGTCCTTCCAGCATGGTAATTTGTACTTGTCTCCAGCAATAGTGCATTCACAGTGCTACAAATGATGATTTATGAGCACTGATGTAAAATACAGTTCAGATGTTGCCACCATATCATGAACTACTTTGCATGAGACTTCTTAGTGCAGATAAGGTCAACAAGAAGGTGCCAGCCATGATGATTTACACACACACAGCCGAAAAGGAAAAACAATTGAGAGAATACTCTTGATAAAAAGGGGCCAGAAAAATACTGAAGACATAAGAAATCATCACACGTTTCAGGCATGGTTTGTTGAAGAGTAGAAAATGGGATCTTTCATCTGTTCATCATTTTGTTTTTATTTTCTGCGGTTGGATTTTTTAAATAATTCTTCTTCAAGTCCTGTGGGACTTCTTCCACAGCAACTGCCTTGGAACTTATTACCCTAATTGTATGGATAATTCGTGTGACCCGCAGGCTAGTACTTGGACTTGGCTCTCCATACTACCAACTCTTCTTTTTTTTCCATCAAATTTTCTTCCTTCTTTAGTGCCATACTTCTCATCTTTCTCTTTTTCCTCCCTGCTGTGAAAATGTTTCAATTCTGCTCCCTCTAAATCTGCCCTCACCAGAGCAGGAGATATGGGATCTGACAGAGTTCTCTTCAGGTTGCTCATAAACAGCAAAACATTGGCCATGGCAAGCTCCTTGCTATCAGTTAGCTGCCAAGAGAGGTTCCTCAGGTACACCTCCAATGCCTCCAGTAATGCAATGCAAGCCTAGAAACACTACCAGCTCTTCCTAGAGGAATGAACACACGACTGTTCATCTCCTCAAAGCCAGACCTTCTAATTCTTCCTCACCTTACAGCAGCCAATGAGCAATGCTGGGTTGGTGCTGCCAGCCCGCTGCTGCACTACTGCTTCTGCAGGTACAATTGTGCCCCGCAGAGGTACAGTGTTTTCTCTATATGGTCCCTTTGCTTTGAAGAACGTTGTTGAACATATTTAACTTGAACATATTTAATTGCTTTTGTCATTAGAATGACATGCTGATACTTTTCATTGAAGCATGGATACAGTCAACATCCCTGAATGTGCATGTAAAATCTTAACTAAGAATTGAAGGAGGAAAGAATGAGAAATAAAAAATACATTTTTTTTTTGCACTGTCCGTGTCTTTAGCTCCTTCTACGAAAGGGGAAGAGTGAGGTAAAAGTGTTAAGGGAAATCCAGGAATATTTCTTGGTGGCAGTAAAGCTTTCCTTCCCAAGCTAACACCCCATCTACTTCACCATGAGATTAGGGAAGAAAGAAATACAGTCATCATTATTGCTTCCAGAATTTGCAGAGAGATACTTAACTCTCCCCTTGCAGGAGGGGTTTTTTGTGTATCCGTATGCTTTTTAAAGTCTTTGGCAACCTCCCATCTCTACAACAGATTCACTGCAAACATGTGCATTGTATTAGTAAGTTATATTGTCCTTTACCTTTCCTCATCATGTCAGCAGTATCAAGTTCTGGAATTAATTTGATCTCTTCTTTCTTCATCCTTGTTGTAAAAAACCCAGTCCTTCCCAGCTACTCATGCAGTATTTTAAGAGGAATATTTCTTACCATTTTAGGCATTTAAAAAAATACTTTGGTTCCTAGAATCCCACAGCTTTCAGTTAGAAATGAATTTGCCCCTGGAATCACCAAGAAAAGTTGCAAATAATTTGAAAACTAATAGTCCCAAGCAAGTGAAAAGAACTGTGAATCTGTTACTGTCAAACCTCATTATTTTAAAAACAATCTAATGATCTTTGTGGTCTGACTTATGACTTCTGAATGCCTGGGGCTGGTACATTGTCTTTATTGAGTTGATGGAGTGCTTTATTCACACGCTAAAGCTCTGGCACTTCCTTAGGAAGAAGTGTACAGGTGGGATAGAACCAATAAAGATTATTTTTGTTTATTCATTTCCTATCTGTGTTCTTATGCTTTCTTGAGCATTTTCTCACATGTTGAGGTACACTGCCTCTGCTCTGCAAAATTTTTCACAGGGCAGAAGTGAATT